GTGTCCACCGGGAAGGATCCTGAACGGCGGAGGCTGGTCACATCCACACCCTCCCCTGCCAGCCATGAACCGGGCACAAACTTGAGCTTGCGCTTGCACTCTGAGTGTGCAGCCGTGTGGCAAGGGGCAGGGGCTGGTCGGGGAAGCAGCAGGAGGATGCCCAGGAGGAGCAGGTGGGCGGCCATGGAGCTGCAGAGACAGGGGCATTTAGGATGGGAAGGGAAATGGGGTGGGGGGCACAGGGATGGAGGACAGCTGCTGTCTGCCTCACAACTACCATCTACCTCACAACTGTACATCATCAGGGCACATGGGAGGGGAGGGTTGAGATATCTCTTAAAGTCACTGAATGTCAGAGCTGGAATGACCTTGCCAGGCCCGGTCCACTCTCCACATTGTACAGACAAACTCAGAGAGAAGAATTGCCTTTCCCAGGTCACACACCAAGAGGAGCCCCTTGCTATAGAATTTTACTCTCTAAGGCTGAATGGGGATCTAGATGGATGGTTCTGTCCCCAGGAGACAACTGCTGCTGGTGGGAGGGAGTGCTGGGCACAGAAGAGGGGACAGAGTAGCTACAGCAGGTTTGGAAGTGGCCTAGGGACCTGGGGAAGCCTGGATTCTGAAGAAGTTTTTTTTCCTGGCCCCAGAACAGCACCCCCCCTTTCCCCACCCCAACTCTTATTCTGTCTCTGTCTCTATCTTGAGCTTTAAAGCCCATAACAAAATTGAGAAAGAAATGAGCTTGTGTATTTCCCTTATTCTCCTCCTTTTCCCTTATGGAAGAAGGTCAGCCGGAACTCTGGAGCCCTGGAATAAAAGCTGCCAATACGCCTGTACTCTCAGATCTGTGTGGGGAGGGACCTTGAGGTTTGCTGTTCGGATCCCTCCCAATGCCTCTCTCCTCTGACAGTCCCTGCTGAGCTCTGTGTACTTCTCCGAGCGATGGGGCCCTTCCTACCTCTTGCCTACTATTGGGCAACGATTGGCCAGAAGGTCTTGCCTCCCATGGAGGTGGCCTTGGTGCCCCACCTGGGCCTGCTGTGATCTGCAACCTCCTCTCTCCTCACCTGACCTGGGCTCTTCGGAGGCCTTTTCCCTTTGGCAGCTTCTGAGAAAAGGGGGTATGGAGAACAAGAACTCCCCGAGGAACCTTCCAGGCCCTACCAGAGGATCAACCTGAAGGATGAATTCCAGGCAGCATGGCTGTCCCAGGGAGGTAAGCAGGTGCAGGGGACTCTTTAAGTGCCCCCCATCTTCCCTCCTAGGAGGCCAGCATGGTCATAACCTTAATCCAGAGAACTCTGTCTCCACCTCCCCTCATCGTGCCTCTCCCATTAAGTCTGTGTGCTGCGTTCTTAGTGGACACTGTGTGCTGGTCTCTTCTCTTTACATATGAAGAGACGGGCCCAGAGTGGTCATAGGCTGCCGAGCGACCCAGGTGTGTTCCTGCTCCATCAGGCTCTTCCCTCATAGGGCTGTCCATTCTCTCCCACCCAGGGGCTCCTGGCCCCCGGCCCCTACTCCCTACCTGGAGTCCGTGTGGAGAAACTGCTGCTCAGACGTCCTCTCCCTCCCACTGAGGCTCCTGGAATGGTAGCATCAGCCCACCAGGCAGGCCCACTTCATAGATCCTCACCCCGGCCACTGCTCACGTCATTTCTGTTTCCTGCCCTGCCCCCAACTGTGGTCACAGGTTATCTGCACTCTTCCCCTCCCACTAGCACCCACCCTGTCATCACCCCTCTTCCGGGCCTGCTGACAGCCCACAGGAAGCAAGAGACAGGGCCAGAGGCTCATCTGCCGGGTGGAGCTCCCAGGGCAGGGCCTCAGGGCCAACAGATGGAGCAGGCAGGGCTCAAGGACCTTGAGGTTCAGATCTGTGTGGATGGATAGACCAGCAGAGGCAGTTGCCTTCTTCTGACACACAGCACTGCCGGTGTGAGATGTAAGAGGTGGTCCAGAGGGAGAGCTGAGTGTGGGGAGCCAGGCTGCCTGGGCTTGGGCCAGCTTGGTTATGCATAAGCTGTGTGGCCTTGCAAAGACCTTGAGCCACTCTCTGCCTCAGTTTCCTCATCGAAAAGTGGGGATAATCATAGAGACCCCAGAGATGGTTGTGAAGAGGAGTGAGTCAATGTGTAGGGCTTGCTCAGAACTGTGCCTGGCCCTCAGTGAGTGGCAATGCCTGCGACCAATTCCCTCCTCCCCCAGCAAGTTCTAACCGTGCTGCCCACTTCCTGCCCAGCCCACAGCCCAGCCCAGCCCAGCCTGGGCTCTGGACCCCAAACATGTTTCCTGGACAAGGTTTCTTGTTTAGTGAGGAGAGCCAGCAGCCCCACACTATCCCCCAGCCCTGGCCTGAGGTTATGGGTGCTGGTAAGAGAGATGAGGCCTGGGTCTTCTTCACCTGTCTTGTGGGAGGTCAGGGTGGGGTGAAGTTTCCGTGTGTTGAGTGACTCACAGGGCTACTTCTAGTGGGAAGTAGGGAATCACACTAGATCTGAGGTGAGGTCTGTGGGGTACGTGGGGGGCCTGTTCTCAGGACTTCCAACCTTGTATTGATAGGAATCATGACCACATGTGACACCATGTGTCACGGACACGTCTCAAGGCTCATCCCTTGAGCTGTGCCCCTCCCGTGTCTCTGCTCTTACGGGAACTGGCTTGCACGCCTTCTCGGAAGCGGCCCCCTCTTCTCTCCTCAGTTGCCCCCACCACCTGAGACAGAGCAGCCACGTGACCCCTCCAGCTCCTGCCTTACTTGGATGCCCAGGCTGTGAGGAGCTTAGTTTCTGAGCATGCTGGCAATGCTAGATGAGGGATGTGGAAACCTTGCAAAAAAACCTGTAGGAAAAGAGAGGCACGGCTGTAATCCCAGCTCCACTAGAAACTTGCCGTGTGCCTCTTGGAAAAGATATTTAATCCCTTATTGATCCTCAGTTTCCTCATTTACAAAATCAAAGGGAGGATTCTGGGATTCTAAAAATCCTTCCAACTAATGAAGAAATGTGCATTTACCAGGTTTTGAGTAGCTTATGAAGTGGCCCATGTCCAAGAGATGCTAGTGGTTGTTGTTTGGTGGTGGGGGGCATCTATCAAAGAGCTGTGATGACATCAAGGCTTACAGCTAGTTCTGGCTTGTGTAACCAATGACAGCTGTCCTGGCCAGGAGAAGCTTGGCACTTGAAATATGCATGAAACATAGTTTTTCCTCAGAGACACAATTTTCAACAAGTGCAATTTTGTTAAATTGCCAGACACCATCTATGTGGTTTTTTATTAACAGCTTTATGGAGATGTAATATCATATAGTTCAGCCATTTAAAGTCTATGAGTCAATGGTTTTTAGTATATTCACAAGAGTTGTACACTCATCACTGTAATCAATTTGAAAACATCTTCATCACTCCCCCAAAAGAAACCGTGTACCCATTGGCTGTCACTTCTCAGTTCCTCACAATGCTAACCTGCCTTATGTCTCTGTAGATTTTCCTACTTTGAACACTTCATATAAATAGCATCATACAATATGTAGCCTTTTGTTTCTGGCTTATTTCATGTGAAATCATATTTGCAAGGTTTATCATGTTGTAGCCTGGATCAGTCCTTTACCCCATCTCATGGCTGAATGATATTTGATTGTATGGACCCTGTTTCCACATTTTGGCTATTATGAACATCCGAGTACATGTTTT